TGCCACCCTAAAAATTCGTTTTAAAATATTTATTTGGGGTGCCCACTTAGAATTGCATTCAAGCTTCACGCGGATTGGCGCAGATTTCATCATGGAAAACCTTGTGCCGCGTCATTGCGCTGTTTCTTGTTTTTTTTGAATCCTAGTTTTGTGGCTCGCCCCGGCGCGGCGCTCCAAACTCTACACGACAACCCAGAATTTAAAAATCCTTGTTTTTGAAACGCTTTTGTGTTTTTTTCAGACTCCCTGTGCTACAACAAAGATGGCAGAGTCTATGACCTCGCTGCATTTACGACAGTGGCCACGAGTAATTCAATTACTGCAGAGAGAGGATTTCTGACGGCTTCCCTCTTGCCCCTTTTACCCTGTAATGCGTTGGTACCAAGGCTCCTCCTGCTTTTGTCTGTCGATCGTCTTTCCAACTCCTCTCACCTTTCCCACTCAATTTGCCCCTGTGGGCTTCTCCTCCTCCCTCAGGGGAAATCCCTCACTGATTGCTGGTGGAGACCAAGGCCCTGTATTTCCGCTCGCGGAAGCTTAGGACTTTGATGCTCGCCTCTTTCGGTGTGTTATCCTCCCTGCTCTCCCCTTTTCTTCCAAGAGCCGCCACGTGCACTTGTATCTCCAGCAGCCTATGCGTTTGACACCGACATCTTGAATGGCCTTGCCTTTCTCCTTCATTGGCAGTTCTCTCCGCTCTTTCTTTTGCTCATCCCGATGCCGTGTGCTTCGTCACCTCTTGCCCTGTATGTAGTTATTTTCTAAGTGAGCAGTACGAATTGAGTAAGTGCTAGCGGCCGGTTTGGCACGTCGGCAGGGGGCAAATCCACCAGACGAGTCCCTCTTTGGATTGCCGACTACGTAAACGTTTTAAACAGCAACCGTATTGCTAAAATTCTTCGTTGCTCGTAGTCAGCACGCACTGCCAGGCCCGCTGTCATGGGATGAATGGGTTGGGGCTTTCGTGATTGGGGGGTGGACGACTGTCAGCATTTCAGTACACAGTTAGCGGCACCTTCTTACGTTTAGTTTGCACGGCCGCTTGACTGATTGCCTCAAGCCGCCACGCTCACGCGTAGCTTCGGATTGGCCTTCACATCCTACTCCGCCAGTGCCAGCAGATATGCCGCGCAAGCTACAGGCCAACCAATATTCCGATTGCTCCTGATATGATCAGGCAACATGATTTTATTTCGACGATTCAGAACGCATAGCCTTCCTCCTCTGCCTAATCACTGACGCGTCTCAGCCATTGCCGCTTGTTTGTGTCAAGCAGCTGTATTCTTGCCCAGCACGACTAAGCCATTCGACTGTCCTGTCACTACGCCAGGCAGCGCTGGCCCTACAGGGTGTGTAGTGGGGGATGGGGGAGGGGGGGCGATGGGGGTGGTTTTGGTGTCGGAGGGCCAGCCTGTCAAATACTCTGGCCAGCCTCTACACCGCCAGCCTCAGACAACATACTTGTATTTGGACGCTTTAGAACGCACAGCTTCTCTCCTCTGCCTAATCACTGACATGTCTCAGTTTGTGCCGTGCACTTTTCCAAGCAGCTATACTCCAGCTCAGCACACGACGAAGTCGGTCTACTGTCCTCTTGCTAGGCCAGGCAGCGCCAGCCCAACAGGGTGAGCTAGAAGGGGAAGGTGGGGGAATGGCAGAAAAAGTAGCGGGCTATGGACGGTGGTGGATCCTCATGTCGGGACCCCCTGGATGAGAAGGAGCGGCCCCACTTCTAGTACTTGCAGGCGCTAGCCTATCACCATACGGCACAAATGCGGGTCTCTACTTTTCAGAGGGGGAATGACAGCCACGTTGGTGGCCACAGTGACGGGGGCACACCCCCTGTGATTTGAAACGGTGAAGGGGCCTCCCCCCCGAGGAATCAGAATGAACGGGCAGCAGCCCCATATTTACAATTGTTGTACCTCGTCACGGAGTACTCCAGCAGAGACTGTGCCAGCCCTTACCACTTTGCTCAACATCTATGCGCTATCTCGTTTTGTATACCCACTCCTAGGGTCGATTGTCACTTTGCCCTTAATTCGCGTTGCGCGCCTCTTCTCTACACGTCTGGCCTGGATAGACTGAAAGGGGTGGTTGGGGATCTATCTTTGAGGCCGTTCAGGTGGGCTGGGGGAGGCAGACGACGACTTGGCAACCGCTGCTTCTTCATTGCAACTGCACGCGTAGCTCTGTACTTAAACTGTTTCCGCCCCATTATCCTTGATATGTTACTTGATGGTTCTTGTTGGTTGTTATTATCTCTGCAGCCGCCGCCTAGTGACTCTGCGCCCCCATGGGCTACGCTCTTTAACCGCAGCTTGCCGCATTTCCTTATCTGCACTGGCGGCTGCCTGGATGTTCTTGTCAAGGCCTAAGTCGGCGACTATCTCCCTTGAGACCAAGCACTGTTTTTTAATGAACGCAACAACGTTTAAGCTTTATGTCCAAGCAACGTCAAAACGGAATACCCAGGGGAGGCGGATGGTGGTGGGGAGGTAAGCTATGAAGGAGGCAGACCCTCTTGTTGTGTTGCTGGCCCCTGGGGCTCATCCATCATCCCACAGCTGCCTCTCGAGCGCCACGCTGCAACGCCCCGAGGCAGCGTGCTCGAGGCTGCCTTCTCTCTGCCCGCACGAGCGTGGGCTGTCTGACGCTACGGGTGGCCCGTCCAGCAACATGCCCGAGAAAAGGGGGAGGCGGAGGATCCCGACGTGTGGCTTGCCTAGTGGCGACAAAGTTGTTGCGAACGAAGGGGGCAAAACACCGATCTTGAAATGTGGTTAACGCTGCAGCGGGAACACGCGATTTGAAGGACCGACACCGTTCCGATCAGGAAATCGTGTCTGTGTGCGTGTGTGCTGTGTGTAAACGAAAGGCAGAAAACGCGGGTGGCTAAACCAGGCAGTATCAGGGAAGGGGGGGTAGCATGCACAACGTGTAATTGTCGAAGAGGGCGGTGGTAAGGAGGAGGTAAGGAGGAGTGAGGTCGGGAGGTCGGGAGAGACGTCCGGGGCCGTTCCTCCGTGGTTCCTGGAGGTTTCAGGGAGTTCCCCACAGCGGGCGAGGAGGAGGAATCGGGATAGGAGGAGGAAAATGAGGAGGAGGAGGAGGAGGAGGAGGAGGAGGAGGAGGAGGAGGAAGAGGAGGTGGATGGAGGGGAGGGGAGCGCGGGGCGCAGGGGCGTCTTCCCCCTCGCCCCTTCTGGCCTCCGGGCCCTTCCACTCATTGTCCCTCTGCCCCTCCCCCTCCTTCTGCCTCACAGTCGCGGGGCGCCCCATTCCTCTGCGTCGCAGTCGTGATGCGCTCCGCTCTTCTCTGCGTCGCAGTCGTGATGGATGCGCTCCGTTTTTCTGCTTCAGTGTCGATGTCTTTCAGCTCGCCCAATCACTCTACAACGTTTTGCTGTGTTCCCGAAGATGTGCCGGTGGCGCACTCTTCTGCCCACGAATCCTCGCGGACGCTTGGGTTGATTGTGTTGGCCCCCCCCCGCCCCGCGCGTTGACCCACGCCTCCTTTGCCCAAGGCGTCCTCGTGGTAGCCCTCAACTGGCCTCCAGCGACGCACAGGAAAGACTCCAGGATTCCCAGGTGGTCGTGGGGCCGAGGGCACCATAGGCCAGGAACGGCTCTGTCAGCACCCGACCTCCCCGTCACACCTCCCCTCGGCCCCCTTCCCTGTCAGCTTGCCCCCGTTTCTTCCCCGGCCTCTCTTTCCAGAGGCCCCCGCTGCCATTGCCCTCCTCCAGCACCGTCGCCCTTCAATCCTCGAGCCCCCCTCTTGCTCCCCAGTCTCCTGCATCCTCGAGCCTTCCTGCCCTTCCCCTCCTCGTGCATACTGTCTCCGCTCCCCTCTTGGCCTTCCCCAACTTCCCCCAACTTCCTTCCAAGACCGACCCTGTGCCTGCTCTTGAGCGTGTTTTGACCAGGCTTTTTCGAGACGAAGCCAGGTGGCGACGAGCCCACCCCCCATCGCCGTCCTCATGCGCCCTCTTCTCCGTTTCTCCTGCTTTCCCTTCAGGACTCCTGCCTTGCTTTCCCGAATTACATCCCTCCTGCCCAGGCTCGATATCCTGCCTCTCCTCCCTCCTTCCCTCCATCCTCCCCTCCATCTCCGAGTGCCCACACCTCTACCTTCTCCTCAGTGCGGCCTCCCTCTCCTCCCTCGTCCTCTCTCCGTGCCTCTCCTATCTCACTCCCTGCAGTGCACTCCCCGCGTCTACCCTGTTGCCTGCAGCAGGTTCCGCCACTGTGCCAGCGCTGCACCTTTGAGCGGGCGACGCCTCGAGCGCCGCCCAGATGGCCGTAACGTGTGACACCTCTCGTCTTCATTCCTTGAGGCCGACCTGGGCCGGCTTGGGGTTACAGTTGTGCTCCTGAGGGGCCTGTCATTGTGCCCGCTTGGGCAGTATGGGGCTCCTCGGCAGCCCTCAGTGAGATCGTTTGTCTCTTTCGATACCCTCTTTGAGCTGAGGGGCCGGGACACGCATCACCACACATTGACAGAGAGTATGTTCTTTCGGATGGCCTCTTGGCCATGTCTCTGGTGTCTTGGAAGCCTCTTGGGGTTCCCCTGGCGCCTCTTGGAGTCTGATTGTGGGCTGTCGGGTGCTTGCTGAGGCGATGTTGGGCCATACAGACGGCCTTGGTGGCCTTCATGCACCATCTTGGGAGCATGAGAGAGCCCCAGGGATGCTTCAGGGCACGTATAACACCTCGTGAGGGACGGGGGCCGGGAAAACGTAGAGAAACTTTGCCAGGGAGCACTGTGCATTCTACCACGCCTCCGCGTCCCTGGGGACACGGTGGCGGATCTTTCCAATGGATATCAGGTCCAAAGTATGTCAGGTCCAATACCCACGCATTCTCACTGAGTTGTGTGGCCGACGGGATGTCAGCACCCCATCGATCTTCCTCTTGCTCCTCCTCCTCCTCCTCTTCCTCCTCCCTTTCCTCCTCCCCCTCCACACAACAACGGTGGCGGATCTGAACCCCCTCGAGGCTCTCGTGGATGGATCGCGTGTACCGTGGCGACAGGGAACGCTTCGTGAACGAGGAGGTGTTGGACGGGTGCGCGGCTCGGCTCGGCTGGATGAGCGACATGGCTGCTGACAGGGGGCATGTTCAGAGAGTCAGCGAAACACAACGACAGACGGGGGGCACGTTAAGACAGTCAGCGAGACATAACGACAGGCAGAAGTACGTCAGGCAGTTAGAGAGGCACACCGACAGACGGAAGTGCAGCCGGGTCTGACTAGCAGGTCAACCCTGCAAAGTCAAGGGGAACCCTTGTGTCCTCTCTCAGGGAAACATAATACTCGAGTTCGTCGGGACTCGGGTTTGCCGAAGTTTTGGGACAGCACTTGTTTTCCTTTTGGATTTTGAATGATTTCAGCGTTTGCGCCCTTTCGGCTTTCCGACGCCCCAAGTCGGCCCATGAGGCCGTCAAGATCACTCCAAGACGGCCCAAGACAGCTCCAAAGACAGCCCCAACACAGCCCAAGAGGGCCCCAAGACGGCCGGCCCACGAGGCCTTCAAGACAGCCCCAAGAGGACCCCGAGACGGCCCCAAGAGGAACCAGGAGGGGGAGCACGAATCGGTTTTTCTAGCTCAACGACCCAAAGAGCCTCGGATTCAGCTAGCAGGTTCCCAGGAGGCCCCCCCAAGAGGCCGCCAAGAGGCCCCCAAAGAGGCCCAGAAGGCTTCGGAATAGCTTCCAAGAGGCTTCAGAACTGCCTCTAAAAGGCTCCCAGGAGGCCTCCCAAAGAGATCCTGAGAGGCGTCCAAGAGGACACTGACCCACGCCCCATCGTGCCATGAGGCACGGTGGCGAATATTGTGATCTTCGGCCCATCCCGCAACCGCGCTGGGGTTGTAGGTCAGAAGAATCTTGAAGCGCGTAGGGAGCTCTTGGGAGGCCTCTCGGAAGCCTCTTGGAGGCAGAGTTGGTGAAGGGGGATGGGGAGAGGCAGGAGGGTGGGGGAGTTGGGGATGAGAGGGATGTGGGCGAGCCGGAGGAGAGAGGGGGGATGTAGGTTTGGCTCGGAGGGAGAGGAGATGGCGAGGGGGACGCTGAGGGGGGATCGCATCGGTCCGTCTGTGGCTGCAGCAATGTGGCGCCTAATCGGCACCTCTCGGATGAACCAGCGTCTGCTTGACAAAAAGGGTCGGTCGATTGCTCCGGCACGCGTTAAAATTGCTTTGAGATCGTCGATGCACCTCACCTTGGACTGCGGAGGGATGGAGAGGGCGGGGGATCGCGGCCCTGCAGAGGCGTGACGTGCTGATCGAGCCGAACGCCTACCCCTATTTCCTGCCGCCAGACATCGAACACTGGACGATCTGGTCCAGGCGGATCCGCTCGCTTCGACCTGTCGTCGCAGGGATCGGCGGCGAGCGAGGGGGGGGCACGAGAAGGAGGAGGCCTTCTCAGAAGGCGGCGGGGTTTCTCAGAAGCCCTCTGGCCTTCTGAGAAGATTTCTGCAATTTCGGGGAAGGCTCAGAAAACTCCTCAGAAAACCGGAGGCCTTCCGAGCCTGCTGAGAAGGCCCGCCCCTTCTGACTTTCCCCTTGGACTCGCCGCCGAATACAGGGCGCTCCAGCACGGGCCCCGCCTTCTGTGCACCACGCCCTCGGCGGAAGCGAGCGGAGGGTCGGGCGAAGGCGGACGTCGGTACAAAGAAAAGTGTGGGCGCGTCCGCCGGCGGGAGCCGACGGCAGGCCGGCGGGAGTAGGAATGAGGCGCCGCCTTTTTTGGGATTCGGGGTTCCCGAAGCGGGCCATGTTGAGGAGGAGTCTTACGAGGATTCGCTCTGTGAGTGATGGCCTTCCCGCCCTGGCTCCTCCTCCTCTTCCTCCTCCGCGTCCCCCTCCTCCTCCTTTTCCTCCTCTATTGTTAGGTGGCTGACGCGCTGTTTGCCAGCTCTGTGCCACTGTATGTCAGCGCGTGCGCGGGAAGGTTGAGAGCGAAATTGTTGACGCTTCGCGTATCCCCACCAGCCCATCCAGAAACGATGCTCAGGGGAGTTGAGGTGATCAGGGAAGTCGGGGAGCATGCAGAATAACAAAGGGCGGGGGAAGCTGTCACAGACCCCGAAGGCCGGACCATGCGGAGGAAAGCGACCCCTGTCCTGGCGAAAGAAACGGTGTCTGGCAACCCGGGTAACCAAGAACACGCCTTGCAGAGGCAGGACATCGAGGCCATCCGCCAGCTTGTCGAGAGAAGTCCCTCTGCGCCCATTCGCCCTCGTTCCCCTGTCAGCGAATCCGCCCGAACGGACAGCGAGCCGCAGCCACTCACGCCTGAAGGCCGGACCACGCTGAGGAAGGCGACCCCCGTCTTGGCGAAAGAAACGGTGTCCGGCAACGTGCCTGGGCCAGGTACGACCTGCAGCACTCATACACTTGACGAAAGTCACGCTGCAACAGACGGGGACGCGCTCGTGGGCGAGGGCGAGCGCGGGTTTGAGCGCGAGCGTCAACGGGAGGGGTCTGCCCCCGCTTACCACAGTGCAGCAGTCCTCTCAGCCCCAGCTGCTGGAGGCTACTCGGCCTTTACTTGGCGACCAACCGTGCGGCCCGCGCCAGCCCGCAAGTCCCCGCCAGACTTCCGTGCACCAGTTGCCGCCGCGCCCCGCGAAGCCATAGACGATTCCGGCGGCGGGCCCAACCAGTCGAATCAGTCGCAGAGCAGCGTACGTGAGCAGCACACTGAGCAGGAGCCGGAAGAGCCCGATGAGCAGGAACTGCCGGCCGCCCACGGGGAGGGTGCGGAAGTTACGCCAGCGCAGAAAAGGGAGCGCGGGCAAGAACAGGAACAGACAACCACCCACCGCCTCATTCCCCTGGCTGACACCACCTGCCCTGGCCCCTCCCTCCCAGGCAAGGGCGCGAGCTCGAGTGCCGATGAGCACCGGCCGTGCGGCCGGCACGTTCTCCCAGCGCGTCTTCGTGACAGCGGGTGGACGCCCCGCCTAGCCTCTGTGACTGGCCACCCTCCAGTCTCCCCGATGCCCCTGGGCCGAAACCTGGCCAGCGACGCCGACCGCGCTGGCGGGTCGGGTGGGCAGCAAACGGCAGGCGGCGGACGCAGCAGCAGCAGCCGCAGAAGCAGCAGCAAGCGCCGCGCCGAGGACCAGCCGCTGACCACCCCGCCCCTGGTTGGGGGTCTCGCCGCGCGTCACTGTCCAGAACCCTTAGACCCAGACACGGGACAGCAGCTATATAAAACTAAGATCGGCGACATCCAGTGGGACCTCCCCGGGGAGACACCTGGCGAGGCGATAAAGCGCCTTCAGGCCTCCCTGGGAGCGAGGTTCACTGGCGCCTGGCACGCGTTCGCCCGGCAGCACGCCTTGCCTAGCCGCAAGGGCTCGCTTGACCCGCGGCGCACGACCAGCAAACGTGCGTCTACTTCCTGTCGTCCTTCCGCTACCGCTTCAACCGTGACGTGCGGGCCATGGACGACGCACTGGACCTCGGCGTTGGCTGGGCGCAGGTGCGGCTTCGGCACCTGGGTGAGTGACGGGCGGCAGGGGGCGCCCGGCGGCGAAGGGCCACGCTGCTCGCCGCGCACCCACGACGGGCCAGGTGCCGTGGGTGGTCGTCACATAAACTGCGGGCGCGCCCGCCCTTGCTTCACCTCCTTTCGCTCTGGCCGTTCCTCCTTCCTTTCGGCGTGTGGTTTGGGCCCATGCTATCACATTGCCTGTCGCCGGGGCTGTCGGCCACCACCTCGATTCCAGCGGGCGCTGCCCAGGCCGCGCCTTGGGCCCCTAACCGCGGCGTTCTGCCGCCCTCCACCCGATGCGCGCACCTCCTGCCTTTGGATCCAGGTGCGCGCTTCGGCAATACCGCCCACCGCCTTTCCGCAGTGGACTCGCGGCCTCGGGCCCTACTGTAGGCGTTTCACCGCCAGGCCTTCCTGGCCTGTGAGTGGGCTACAGCTCGCCTGCCCACTGGCTTTCTCCCTGGACTTTCTAACCGAACGAACGGCCTTCCGCCGTCACCCTGGGCCTTTTAAACAAGCAGCTCGGCCTTCCGCCGCCACCCTGGATCCAAGCGGCTCTGAGGGACGCGTCTTGGGTACAAGGCGTTCTCGTCCCTCTGGTGCTAGACGACTCGGTTGGGTAGCGCCGGGGCACCTTAGATGTGCATACTCCTCGGGGTCTGCCGTGTATCGCGCACTTCGACGCCCTTCCACTCGTCGGATCTGGGCTGTCGCATCTCTGTTGTGGAAGGTACTCTTGTCATCATGCTCCACACCCTGGATGCGCTTTCTTGCGTCGCGACCTCGTTCGCCGTCAGCTTTTTCCGCTGGACCTTTGTCCCCAGTCAGTCTGTGGTACCCGTCAGGCTCCCTGGATCGTTGTCCTCGGGAACTCTCAATGCTGGACGGCCTTCTGCCGTGACCCTGGATCAGTGGCTTTGACGGACTTGCCTGGGTATACGCGGTCTCGTCCCGCGTGTGCTCTCCGACTTGTTCTGGGCAGCACTGAGTGAACAAGTGGCACGGCCTTCCGCCGTCACCTGGACCCAAGTGGCTCTGAGGGACGCGTCTAGGGTACGACGCGTTCTCGTCCCTCTGTTGCTAAACGACTCGGTTGGGTAGCGCTGAGGCACCTTAGTTGTGCATACTCCTCGGGGTCTGCCGTGTATCGTGCACTTCGACGCCCTTCCACTCGTCGGATCTGGGCTGTCGCATCTCAGTTGTGGAAGGTACTCTTCATCATGCTCCACACCTTGGATGCGCTCTCTTGCGTCGCGACCTCGTTCGCCGTCAGCTTTTTCCGCTGGACCTTGTCCCCAGTCAGTCTGTGGCACCCGTCAGGCTCCCTGGAACGGTGTCCTCGGGAACTTAATGCTGGGCGGCTTTCCGCCGTGACCCTGGATCAGTGGCTTTGACGGACTTGCTTGGGTATGCGCGGTCTCGTCCCGCGTGTGCTCTCCGACTCGTTTTGGACAGCACTGAGACACTGTGATGTGCACGCGCCGCGTTTCGTGCGTGTAGCGTGCATCAGGCGCCCTTCCACCCCCTGGGTCTGGGCTGAAGCATCTCGGTGTGGAAGTTTGTTGGCAACCTTTTCACAATTTGATGCCGTTTCGGCGTCGCGGCGCGTTGCCGCCGTCGGGATCCCCGCTGGACTTACGTTCGTTCGTCTGTGCTACCCGTCAGGCTTGGGTCGACGTCCTCGGGAACTTTCCTCTCGTTCGCACCTGGACGTTGGGAGCGCCTCTCGCGCCATTTTGGCTGCGCTTGGTCTCTTCGGTGCCTACCCCAGGCCCGTTGGACGCACTGCTGCATGCCCGTTCAGGGGCCGTCTTTGGCTCCTGGATTGCATCGGCCTCGCCGCCCTGGACGCTGTCGTGTGCCGCCTGATCCGCGGCCCCGCGCGCGTTAGGTAATTTAGTCGCGTCCGCGGCCCGTTCGCGACCTCCCGCCGCTGGCGCGCTCGCCTGCGGCTGTAAAACAAATCCCCACCAGCCCATCCAGAAACGATGTTCAGGGGAGTTGAGGTGATCAGGGAAGTCGGGGAGCATGCAGAATAACAAAGGGCGGGGGAAGCTGTCACAGACCCCGAGAGGGGGAGGATGGAAGAGGAATCGTCGTCGTCGTCGGAGGAGGAGGAAGAGGAGGAGGAGGAGGAGGAGAATGAGGAGGATATGGAGTAGGGCGAGGACGAGGAGGACGAGAAGGAGGAGAAGGAGCAGAGGGAGGAGAAGGAGGAGAAGGAGGAAAAGGAGGAGGAGGGGGAGGAGGAGGAGGAGGGAGGAAGAAGAAGAGGTGGTTGAGGAAGAGGAAGAGGAAGAGGACGGCGAACCGAAGAGCCAGAAGCGTTTTGAATGCCTTTTTCGGAAATCCTCTTGAGGCTTCTTGGGGGTCTCTTGGGAGCCTCTTGGAGGCGTCTTGGGCGCCTCTTGGGGACGTCTTGGCGCCTCTTGGGGCGCTCTTGGGGCGCTCTTGGGAGCCTTCGGGGCGTTCTTGGGGCCATCTTGGAGGGAGTCGATCAAACAAGAGGGGAGCTTCAATTAGCCTCCCCCTCGGGAACCCCATAAATCGCCTCTTGGGGCCCTCTTGGGGCGCTCTTGGAGCGCTCTTGGGCGCTCTTTGGGCCGTCTTGGGGCTCTCTTGGGCCTCTCTTGGGGCCCTTTTGAGCCATTTGGAGCCATCTTGAGGCTTCAGAAGGCCATCGGAAGCGAAAAGGCGAGAAAGCAAAAAAACATTGTTTTTCCTTAGGTGTTGGGACGATTTTGGCCTCTTCGGGGCCTCCTTGGGGAGCTCTTTGGCCTCTTGGAGCCGTCTTGGGGCCGTTTTGGGGCCTCTTGGGACCATCTTAGGAGCCATCTTGAAC